TATTTATTTATTTATTTATTTATTTATTTATTTATTTATTTATTTATTTATTTATTTATTTATTTACTTACAGTTGTGTGCTAACTACTGAGCTTGTTAATAAGCTTATTTTTTTGACAGTTTATTTTGTCTTAGGTATGAAGACTAAGATGGTGTGGCCTTTTGTGTGGTCGCAGTCTCCTGTCGTTGTATGCAAGTTGTTTGACCTTGTTTTCGCAACTTGGTCACATTGGTAGGAAGACCTGGAGAAACGCACCTAATTTGGATTCCGTTGTATGTATGCTAACTTCCAGATTTAGACTATGGACGTGGTATTTTCCAAGACGTGATTAGCTCAGGGGGGCAGGAGCAATAGAAGGATTGTTTAGCAGACAATTTGTCAAAAGAATCGATCCCATTTGTCTCTTTGACGAGTTGTTGTGTGGTGCTGAGAGTGGCAGGGATCACTGACGATGCCGACTATGATGCCGTTGAAACGTCAGGGAATGTACCACTTCCACGCTCCAACTCTGGACATGATTATGCATACAATAGACTCCGGACAAGGTGCGTTCCTCTTAGTCCTCCTACCAATATGACCAAGTTACGAAAACAAGGTCAAACAACTAAAAAACTTTAGTCTTGTTGCAAGATTTATTTGCTATTTTCTCTCGTAGTAGGTGTCGTTGTTACTTCTATTTGATCGGTAACTTGTCCATTTCATTTTAGCTGTCTTCGCTTCAAAAGGACGATCCAGACAATTCTAGTGTCGAGGAGCTCGCTTTAGAACTGGTCTTGGGCCCATCTCGTTTGTCTGACAAGGCAAGAAAGAAGATCAGAAACAAACGCATTTCAACAAATGCTATAAGCAACGAAAGGACAAGCGTCAGTCGGAAGCAAAACCAACTTAACAGAAGTAAATATTCATGGAATAGCTAAGACTGAAATTAATTCAGTTTTCATGTCCTTGCTAATCAAAAATATTAGTTAAAAAGTGAATTAATAACACATGAAATGCTCAGCTCTGAGAGTCGGATGGAGGGAAATCGAAAAGAGCGCTAAGTTGTGCAAGAAGTATTCATTTTATAAATATAGTTTAAATGATTATTATTTCATGGACGGGAAAGGGGCTATCAAGCTTTACCTGTTGTCCCGACGTCTCACTTCAATTGACTTCAGTAGCCCATCTTTTTTTATATTATCTAACTTTATTAACTTATAACACAACTGACGATGTGCTCTCGCATATGATAGGGGGCGCCCAAAGACATTAGCCACTCTGGAAACTTCTTTGTCTAATATTGTCAAATAATGCCAATAATCAGGACCATTTCAACCATGACAACAGCCTAATTATATGAAATGTATTCACACAATTTCGTTTAAGGTGATTAAGGACTGGTAGACGAATTTTCCCACAATCATATGAGCTGAGCTGAGGTTTCCATTCAATTTAACACATCCTTGCTTTCCCAAAAAGTGTCCTCATTCAGAACAAGGTCTTATCAACACCCTCATCGGGATTCGAACTGTGAAAATGCAGTAAATTTCAATTTAGGCCAAACCTTTTGCCATATCACATTCTTTGATAGGATTTTTGTCTATAACTATCGACTACATTACTCTACTAATATGCGAAAGTATTTAATTTAGTCGATCTTTATAGCAAAAAATATGTTTGCTTCATCGACAATCCCATCATAGAATGTGATTTGGGAAAATGTCTGGCCCAAGGGAACTCGTGTCATTGTGGCTGAGTGGTTTACGGTTCGACTCCCGCTGGGGGTGTTGATAAGACACAGACGAGTTCGAAACTGCAGTCCACTCCAACCAGGAGGAGAACAACTTTTGGGAAAACGAGGCTCTGTGAAATTCAATGAAAACGCCTCTTATATTCATATCATTGTGTGAAAATTCTATTACCAGTCCTTCATCAGCTTGAACGAAATAGTGTGAATTCATCTCAAATAACTGATTTTCTGAAAGGCTGGAAACTCTGCTTATACACGAAAACAGCCTATTTCCCTCAGATTCATCATCACCTGAAGCATCGTCCCAATGCAGAAGGCTGTTTGAATACTTGCCACTTCTGCACAAAAGCACACTTCCAACTTTGCACTAATCAAAGAAACCAACCAGGCCAGAGGGAAATTTCATTTAAATGGGTTACAAAAGAAAATATGAATGCAAACTCTGTCTCACATTTGCTTTCAAACATTGTATTCCACGAATTTAAGTGCGTTCTGTGCATAATCCACTTTCTACTTGGCTTAAGGCTTCTTCGGTCTTCTTGAATAAGAAGCCCCGAATTTCATTATAAAACATTACAACTTGCTGTTTTCTTCCACCACACACGTCCAAGTTACGAGGTCGAGGAGGATTATTTCTAATGGATCTACCAAGTGGCTATCATAACTTAAGGGGTATACAGACATTTTGTGTTTTGGCGGTGTTTTCGCTAATTTAAAGTACTTTCCTTCCTCTAAATTTGATTAGTCCTAGTCTGTCATCATCCAAAGGAGATGAATGAGGGAGGTAATGTTCTTAAATTTGTTGAAGATGCTATTAAACTTTTGAGTTTCAATGTGTATTCTAGTAATTGGTAACAAAAGTTGCCAAGTTGCAAGTTGTAATCAATGAGCATCATCAAAATTGAACAAAGCCAGGCAGTGAATACAGACTTATGTTATTATTGTTTTATGCAGAGCCTTACATGAATATTTGAGCCTATTCTCAGGTTTCTATCGTCAAATTTATGTCAGTATGAATTGCATGTTTCCATCGCCATGATTTCACACTTTGATCGAGCATATCTTCTCGAAAGACCATCCTAAGTCTGAAAGTGTTCATGGTTTTTTGCTGTTTCTATACCAATCCTGACTGATCATAGACTCGGTGAACTGAAAAGTGAGATGTAAAACAAGAAGTTTGAGCAGCTCAAAAGTGACTTGTGATTAAAATAAATAAAAATAAACATGCATTTTTTTTCCTTTTTTTCACTTTAGGTCTTCTGGCTGCCTGCAGGCATGGTCTTTTTGAAAGAGTTAAAGGCTTGATTGAGGCTGGAGCCAATCCTCTCTTTATAGACTCCGTCGGACGTTCAGGGCTCCACTTTGCGGCGAAGATGGGTCATTTAGAAGTAATGGAATATCTCGTCAAACATGGTAAGATCTTGAGAGCAGATCTTATTAAACTATGCTGATGTTAATTATTTGCGAAAATATCACTTTTGATTTAAATATGAAGGCAAATTGTTGTGGTCTGTATTTTGGTTGCAGTCTCTTTTCGATGTTTATAAATGGTCTGAGCTCGTTTTCGCAAGTTGGTTGTGTTGTCAGGGTGACTTAGTTTGACACACCTTGACCGAAGTCATCTGCTGTCGTAAATGTCATATTTCCCGGTGTTGGACTGTGAAATTGGTACATTCCCAAACGTTTCGCCGACATCGTCACTAAGTCTTGCCCCATTCTCAATGCCAAGCTAAGCCTCGAAAGGAGACAAGTGACCAACTTTCTGCCGAAACGCTTGTGATTTCACTCCTATTTCTGTCCTAGAAAATATACCCACTTTATATGCTCTCATTTCACTCCGGTTCAATCAAAACTTCTGATTTGGTTATATTCGACTCCTCCAAAGAGGTACCGTTTTTGGCGATTTTAGTGTGTAGTCATCACAATTTGAAGAGGAAAACCGATGTTTGTGATAAATGGCTGGGTGAATTACAGCACAAGTATCAAATCTCCACTTCCACTCATCTGATACAAAGTTGGCACACCTCTACCTAAAAGCAGATTTCTGATAATTAAGAAGCAAAATAAAAGTTAAAATTCATACCCCACGATTATGAGCGGCATTAATAGTACGAAAATAATTATATGCACAAAGTTCGTAATAAACTAATAAACTATTTTCTGCCCTTCCTTTCTTTATTTACCTTTGGCTTCATGTTGACAACTGGCCAGCACCAAAAGAGATTCTTCATTTGAAAGATTTTAACAAGTGAGTCATTTTAATAGACCAAGAATATGCTCAAATAAATGTCTTGATGATTAACTTTTTTATTTT